CTAATGCACAAGGATAACCACAGGGACGATGTCGAGGCCGGAAGTGTTGATCAGGAAAGCCTATTGGATCGTCCTTTCTGTTCCTCTTTCTTCCAACCAAACTTACTGGTACGTTCTGACTGGCTTGACTCATGATTTTGCCTGACTTGATTACTTCTTCCACTAGCTCCCCCATTTTTAACACATCATTGAAAGGCTTACCCAAGGCCGGAATCAAATGACTGTAGTAGGTGGGTCCCTGGGCTTGTAGAAACAGCTTAACCATTTCTTCTTCGCTGATCGGGGGACTGACTCGAGCAACCTGCTCCCTCCATCTGAGCCCAAATTCCTTAAAGCTTTCCTCTGGCCTCTTTTCCATCTTAGATAGCAAGGTGCGGGCTGGGGTAACACTTGATTTGCGTTGAAAGTATCGGACAAAGTCTTGAGCCATGTCGCCCAATGTAAGCCACCCATCGATATTTTGACGACCATGCCAATCCAAAGCTGCCCCAGTTAGGCTTTTACTGAAATATGCCATCATCACGTCATCTTTCTCTCCAACAATCCTCATTTCGTTGCAATAGGTCCTCAGATGGGCTACCGGATCTCCACGCCCATCGTACAAGTTAAAGTCTGGTACTTTGAATCCTGCGGGCAGGCGGGTGTCATGTGGCACAATCGGTCCTTTGCAAGTCATGCTACCCTGGCCTTCCACTCTTCGCTTGTCCCTTAAGGACAGCTCTGTGCTTGTCAATTTCCTGGGTACCCTTTCTCGCCCTGTGCTTCCCGTAACCCTTTCATTTCTACTATGAATCTGCTCGTCCTGGGAGCTCAGCTTGTATGGATCAAGGACCTTCTGGGCAACCTCTGCAGGGAGAAATCGGGCATTACGTGCATTGAGTGGATGTTCATTGTCTGGGGTAACGGATATGACAGGAGGGCAATATTGGGGAAAAGTGATTGAAAGATGAGCGATGGAGCTACTAGGGTAGTTGGGGCGAGCGTGATAAGCGGGTGTATCTGGAGAATATGGACGATCATCCGGCATTGTGTTGGGAGTCTGGGTAGCGTTCGGGAAAATTGGTGGTGGTGGGGGTGGCGCCTTTCCAGTCATCCAGGCTTGATACAGGTTTGTCATGTGTTGTCTCAGCATCCGCACCTCTTCAACCAACCCATTACCCCGTTCCACCAACTGTTGCCGAACATCGGTATCAAGCAACTCAGTTCTGTTGTTCTCTGCCATTGCCTTTTGCCTTTGTGTTGCAGGGAAAAGTTACTTTTAAAACCACAAACCAACCACCTGTCTGAAATGATATGGCAAAATGACCATCACGTTAGCGTTAGGGCATTTAACACATTGGTAACAGTTTTTGATCGGGCGCATGCGTCATCCCGGCTTTTCCTTATTTCCAATTGCAAACTTTTCTTCCTTTGTTTTCTTCTTTTTCCTTTTTTTTTCTTTACTCCTGCCTTTGTCCTCTCTCGTTCCTATTTCCTTCCTTTCTTGAGTTTTGTTTTTCCGCTCTTTTTTCTTTTTGCCTTTTGTGGTTTTTTCTCTCTTTTCTCGTTTTTTTTTTCTTTTTTTTTGGTTATGGTCGAATCCTATGGAGATTGCCTACGTATCACGACCCCGCGTGAATCAGACCGAGCGTAGTTCTTGCAAAGTAAATGCAAAGTAGGAGCAGGATATTTTTGGCAATAGTAAATTTGTCTATTTCAAAGACTCAAAACTATTAACAGACTCTAAAACTATAAACTCCATCATCCCTATTCTAAATCAAACAAAATACAGACTCAATCAACTGACTGTCTTTTAACGAAAAGGAGATACAGACTCTGGTAAAAAGAAATACAAACCCAAATGACCTCCATAAAAAAGGAAATACAGACTCGGAAGACAAACTTTTCTTTTTTTAGTAGAAAAAGGAGTGCAGACTCAAAGACAATTACGAATACATTAAAGCCCCTGGTGCCCGCGGGACATCATTCGGTCTCGCCGCGGGCCTATATGCAAGTTCCCCTTATTTTGAATCGTGCTCATCTTGCACATTTATTAAGGTGATTTAATCACTTATTTTGACCTAAAAGAAAATAAATGACACTATTTTTGTTCAAATTTCCAATTTTAAAACAAACGGCCGGTTTTGCAGTTACGGCCTTTCAGCACTTTCGGGAGAAGATTTTAAGGTTGTGTCTGTTAACCGTTGAACTGACTCAGGGTGGCTGTTCTTGCAAAAATAGCCTTCCGGCGCTCTTTTGGGGACATTCGGCTTAGTTTAAACAAGAACGGCGGCACCCGACTTATTCATGACGAAATTAAAAAAACTTGGCATTTTTGGCTATTTTTGAAAAGGGGAGGTTGGACCCGATGAGGGTTGCCTACGTATCTGACATCCGGTGAGAATCAAACCATCGTAGTTCGGGCAAACAAACTAGCTATTTTCAAAAACAAAACTCTTTTGTATTTTCTTTTCAACATCTTGAAAAATAAGAACCTTTTGTTTTTCCTTTCGCGAACTATTGCTAAAAATAAAAACTATTTGTTTTGCATTTCAATTGGCACATAAACAAATTATTTAAAAAAAAATATTTTTGTTTTCCCTTTCCATTGACATCAAACACTTCTCTTATTTTCTCAAAAATCCGGCAGAGTTTCGGCACTACTTGGACATTGGTTTTTCTAATATAGGAAATTAACTCTCTACACTGCTATTTTCTCTCTTTTGGTTTTTCCAATTTTTCCACAAAGCCGGTCAGCATGCGAGTCCCAAACAGATAAATGCACAAGTAGGATGCATCAGGATGGTCCATTATTTCGGGTACACCTGTCCTAGACGGACCCAACCCCTGTGTTGAGTCCCCTAAGTCAAAATGCACATGATGCAAATAAGCGTTCCTACTAGGGATCCGGCATGAAGTCAAGTTCTTCTAGGTTCAAAACCTGGGTATGTGTTCTAGACTGTGTACCCGAGCGGACAACTCGAGTCGAGGAGGGGGCTACGTACCGGGAACCAAAGGGCCATCCAGCTTAGTAACTTGTCCGGCCTCTTTCTTATTTCAGGGTATTGACACTAACAGAATAGGGAGTCTCAACCAGTAAGCACATCCCCGGAGGTGAGAAGAGAAGGGTTTCGGCACAGTTTATATACAGTTCAGATAATATCAAAGCGGTAAAAAGCAATATTTTGCACATTTAGCATGAAACATGTAGGAAAATCAGATAAAGCCAAATACAATATATATCTAAGCTCGAATTCTGAACCCTGAACCAAAGTTCTGGGTTCTCGTCCCCAGCAGAGTCGCCAGAGCTGTCACACCTCCTTTTCCTACACCTGTGAGGGTGTAAAGGAGTTTTTCCAATTAAAGGACAATCGGAACGGGATTTATTATTAATATTCAGAGTCGCCACTTGGGAGATTAATGGTGTCCCAAGTTACCGGTCGAATCCTGATCCGAGGAAATTATGACTCTGTTAACAGTCCGCGAACCAGAAATCCGAGTAAGGAATTCTGTTAACCCGGGAGAAGGTGTTAGGCATTCCCGGGTTCCGTGGTTCTAGCACGGTCGCTCAACTGTTGCATTTGATTTTATCTGATTTCAAAACATATTCTAACCTATAAGTCTTTTAGTAGTAAACCGCTTTTATTGTCATTTTTAATAAGAATTGCAAGGTCGTGAAAATGTGTCTCGAACCACGTCGCACCAGTGCACCCGTGATTGGCAACACATTTCAACTTCGTTGAGATTTGGATTTGGGTCACATAAATGTGCACCCGTATTTAGGAAGGTAAAATTATTTAAAGTGCGTGCCTAAAGAGACTATCGCGTTATTATCTTTGGGGAAAGCCGTGAAATTTGCTAAACGGCCCATCCTGGAGTCAAAGTATTTTCATAAACTTTTATCGAGGGCCCCGTAATTTATTTGTTTTGCTTGGCGGGGCTCACCTCGTCTTATTTAAGGATACCCCAAAGTGAACTTTATTTTGTATTCTGTTCGTCTCTACAAATAAAGAAAGGTCCTAACCAATTCGATGTTGGACAGACGTAAGTCGGGCATTGGTCCAAGTCCAAGCGAGGGAAAACGACATTAGTTCAAATTATCATGACTAAACTAACATTCAGCATTTATTACATTTTTTGGCCAGTATGAATATATGAGTAGGTGCAGGGGTGGATTCAAAGCAAGCTAACTATTTTGCCCACTCAAATTAACCCTCCTCGATAGCATTCAATCACTCAAAGGACTTCGTGACTTTGCTTGAATCGCTGAAATAAATAGAAAAATTATTTTGAACGTATATCTACAGCTACCAAACTCAATCAAGTGTTCAGCTCATGATCCGAACCCTTAAAGTGATAATCATGCACGTCTATTTTTAACAATTCATACACAGTATTCAGCTATTAAGAAATTGATCTACAGCTGATTCTAAACATCAGCTGTCCAGCTATACAGTCCAATTAATACAACTATGAATATTCAATCAAATAGTAATCGAGCTATCTAGACTTAATAAGATGTCAAATCGAAATTCCAGGGCAGCAAACAAACTTCAGTTGTATTTCATATTCAACGAGCGCAGTTACATCAACATAGGCTGAGAATGTGTACCTGGAGAATAGAATATAAGCAAATGAGGACTCACAGCAAAGAAAAATCAGAGGATCAACGCAGCAGTACAAGCAGCAGCAAATGAGAGTTTCCAACAACACAGAAAATTCAGCCCAGGAATAGACCAGTGATCCAAGTATCAAATGGAATTGAGAGATTGAACACGATAGCACCAAAATAGACCCAAAACTGACTTGCTTGGAATCCAAACCCACTCGAAATCAAAACAGGACTACTTCTGAATTTCAACTACAAGAAATTAAGTTAAACAATGCAAACCAACCACTAAACTTGAAATTGACCTAAGAGATTGAATAAACAGTATTTCTTTTTTTTGGGTTTTTCTATAATTTTCTATTGTTTTTGGCTTTCGAATTTTGAATTTCTACTTTCAAATCTGGAAAACTGAAGAGTACATTTGGGGGAAAGCTTTTGGAGGTTCCAAACTTTTCGAATCAAGGCAAATGAATGCCTATTTATAGATGAACTTAGGGTCCAACTTCAGATTTTCCCTTTACCCATTAGTCCCTATTTTAATTCTATTTTTACCCTTTATTTTCTGACTTGTTACACAAGTAACTACACCTATTTTATTGAAATCTATACTAAAGTCCATCCTAGAAGGTTCTATACCCATTACAATTCCTATTCCATCCTTACCTTGGTTCTAAAATTACCAATCTTAATAAAACTACCCCTCTCCATGCCTAAACTACCCTTTGAACCCTCTTGGAATTACTGAGCTAAATCAGACCATTCTAAACTAAAACCTAACAATGCTAATTAATGCTAAATACTGAATTAAGGCATTACTAATGATAACTACTGATTAAACTAGACCAAACTGACTAGACTAACTCAAATCAAACATTAGAACAAAAATTAAAATCAACAAAGCCTAAACGAATCGACTAAGAGGGCTAATAAAGAATTAAGGATTATAACAATGAACTATAAACTGAAACCAAACATTTAGCAAGACGGATTCAAAACGCAAAACTAAACTTAAAACCTAAAATTAGCAAGACAGGATTAAACCAACCCAACAAAATTAAACTAAAGCTAAGAACAATTACAAGAGCAAGATGAAACACATACTGAACAGAATCCAAAACAGAATCGAACAAAAACTTACTAATTTTGAGCATTCGACTGACTATGGGGCGAACTCTGACTAGCTATTGTTGTTTGAATCCTCCGGGATTCTTGAGTTAGGGTTCTGCCGGAATTTGGGATTTAGAATTTGTAATGTTCCGGGCAGATTCGAGACCAGTGGCTATGGGGGTTGGGTAGAGGAGGTTCGGACGGTTCTGTGGTGTGAATTTGGGTCAATTCGGGACAACTGATGTCATGGCCGGAAAACTTTAAACCGTTATTCGAAGGGTTCGACGTTGATTCGAGGGGCGGGGTTTGGGGAATTAGGTAGAGGGGACTCAGATGAACCTAGGGTGTTAATTTGAGACTATTTGGCATACTTTGGGTCTTGGCCGGAGAATCTGTGATCTAATATTTGACGCTTTTGGCCGGGATTTGAAGGAGATCATTTGCATATTTGGAAAGAGGGTGAAAAGGGGAAGCTGGGGTGTTATTTTGGTGAAGTTTGGAGATTCTCCGCCGTCGTGGGCGATTTCCGGCGGCGGAGCGCGGCGGGGGAACGGTAGAGGCGTGGTGGGGAAAGGTGGCTTTATGGTGGGCGACGGCGGGTTCGCTGGAGTGTGAGAGATGAGAGGCAGGGGGGTCTGAAAGGGGGGGGGTATCATTAGGACAGTTATATAATTACGGACGTAAGCTTCTCGATCGTTAGATCTGGTAACCTCGACGGTCCAGATTTAACAGGCCGAAACGACGTCGTCTTGGGACGAGGGCAGGCCGGGTTAGGGAATGGGTATGGGCCAGGCGGGTTTCAGGGGTTTATTTAATTTGGGCTGAGCCAATTTTGGCCCAGTTTTAGTCTTTCAAGACAAGCCCTCTTTTTTTTTTTTGTTTTAATAGCCTTTTTTTTATTCTCTCTTTATTCAATTTGTTTTGTTTTCATTTTTGTATTTTATATGTTTATTTGTATTTTATTAAAATGCAGAATTAAAATAGAGACCTAATTTACCAAATTGAAGCTAATTAATTCCTGTTTAAAGTAAACTCAAGACAAATTCAACAACTAACAATTAAAAACGCAAAAATGGACTATTTTTGTTATTTTCTTTAAATTTTGTTCTAAAAACAACTTAACCACTAAATAATCCTTAAATATGAAATTAGATCCTAAATGCAAATGTCATGCATATTTTTTATATNAGGTTGCAGATGAAATAAAAATGCACAAATAAAATACAAACAATTAACAGAAAATAACACAAAATTCACAAAAGTGTAATATAATGAAAGAAAAATTATTTTGTTTGAATTTTTGGGAATAATTCATATATAGGGCAAAAATCACGTGCTCACAGTAATAGTATACAATATACTATAATAGTATACTTATTACCCTTAAACTCACTTGCCTTTTTCCTTTTAATTTGCTTTAAGCTTTTACCCAGCGTGAGAGGCAAATTGAAAATGCAAAAAAAATAAAAAAATATTATAGTATGTTATAACGTAATGGTATACTCTTATACTTAGAACCTTTCAGATTTTTTTGAAATTTTTATTGACAACTGATATTATTTTAATTTAATAATTGAATTAAACTTTTTTTAACTCTTTGCGTACAATTGTATACCCTGTTGGTATAACTATATACTATACTGGTATCAAATGTTAGTTAATATTTTTTTGGTTGTATTAGCTACATTTAATTGGTACACAATTTGATTTTTCTTTAGTGGTAATATAATAAAAAAAAGAATAATAAAGAATAGTGAAAATAATAGATGAAATTAGATTATGAAAAGAAAAAGAATATAAAAAAAAGAAGTTAATTGATATTAGAATAGGAAAAAAGAAAAAAAATAAGAAGAAAACGAGAAAAAAGATAAGGAGAAAAGGAGAAAAGAAAAAGAAAAGAAAAAAGAAAAGAAGCATAGAAATAAAAAAGAATTGGAGAATAAAGAGAAAATTCCCCACAAAACCTACTATGGGTAGGAAATGTAATTAGTTTATGGCTAGAAAAACAAATGGGTAGATAAGGATAAATAGTTTTGTTTTTGTGGGTAACTGTGTCAAAATTTGGTTGGCGTGCTAAAATTTCTTTTGCAAGTAAAAAAAAAAAATTATTGGCAGCTCTTTAGGTTTGTGATTAATTCAATTTTTTAGGCCCACCATAATTTAGTTTATTTTCGAAACTTAAATATTTTTGTTTTTGGAGAATTAAATTTTAATATATATATATATATATATATA